GGGCTAGGTTGCGTTTCTTCTGTCTAACGGGCCTAACAGTTGAGACTGCAGATGTTCCTCAATAGAAGCGCCGATCTGAAGTACCCGAAATGGGTCCTCTATCGAAGTCGGGATGGGGATGGTCTCTTCGGTGGGTACGGCTCATTCCACGAACTGCTCTGCGGGTCGTTCTAGCTCGAGGTCGTCTACTACCTTGGCTTTTCCTTTGAGGGCGGCTACGCAGCACTTGCGGGACTCAAGCTAATCCCCTCGTGTCACCTCGACTCCAAAGTCTGTAGGGAACTTCATCGCCAGGTAGTAGGTGGAGACTACTGCTCGTAAGGTGTAGGTGATGGGCCGACCTACTATTGCGTTGTACGGGGAGGTGCAAGGCCAGGTGCCGACCACCAGGAACTCATGGTTGAGCCTTACCATGCTAGGCCAGGTGCCGACCTCCATTGGTTTAGTGACTCTCCCTAAAGACCTGACCTCCTCTCCGTTGATTCCCACTAGTGGAGTGCTTGCGGGCTTTAGGTCGCTTTCCTGGAGCTGAAGTTGATCAAAGGCCGCTTTGAAGAGAATATCCGCCGAGCTGCCCGAGTTGACGAGGACACGCCTGACCTTGAAGTCGTTGATCTTTATCTTTATGACGAGCGCGTCATGATGGGGATAATGGACCCCTCGCGCGCCGTCTTCCGTGAAGAAGATCAGTTCCTCCATCCTTGGCCGCTTCGGGGAATTCTGTTCTTCCCTGGTGGCCTCACGGGCTGATGACCGAGCTGCAGCCGAAGTGCAGTCCGCGACAATTGATCCTCCAACAATTACATGGATAGTCCCCCGGACTGGTCTCTCATCGGGAGGCTGCCTCTACGGCTATTCTGCTTGTCTGCTGGACTCAGAAGCATCCTTACTCTGCTCCCCCTGCCTACCTGCTTTATTATTATTATTGTTCTGTACAAAATTTCTCAGATATCCGCGACGGATGAGTTCCTCTAGCTCGTTGCGGAGGTTTTTACAATTTTTGGTACTATGACCATGATCTCTATGAAAACTACAATACAAATTTTTATTCCTAACATTGGGATCGGCCTTCATCCGAGGTGGCCACTTCACATATGGGGCATCCTTGATTGCCATGAGGATCTCGGCCCGCTTTGCGTTGAGGGGCATGTAGTCCCTTTCCGCTGCGGGGGCTCGGAAAGGTTGAGTTGGCTTTGCCCCCCGAGCTGGGTCCTTCTTTTTTTTGTTGTCGCTTGGAGCAGGGGACTCTGGTTCCCTCTTTCTTTTTACAAGGACTTGCTCCCCCTTATGGTTGATCTCCTCCTCTGTCCCTATGAACTGATCTGCGAGTTCGAGGAACTCGGTCATGGTCTTGGGTTGATTGACAACCACGTGCCACTTGAACTCCTTGTGCGTGATTTCCCGCTTGGCCGCAGTGAGCCGGACTGCGGGGTCTAGGTCGGGTATCTGTAAGCGAGCGTCATTGAACCGCTTGATGTAGTTTCGGATGGACTCTCCTTCCCTCTGAACTATGCTAAGGAGGCTCTCTTGGGTCCTCGGGCAGCTTTTACTGGTGATGAAGTGGGAGGTGAAGACCTGTACGAACTGCGCCCAACTCCTTATTGAACTTGGTGCGAAGTTTCGGTACCAGGTGCGGGATACTCCTTTGAAAGTGGTGGAGAAAGCCACGCACATGCAAGATTCACTCACCCTTGCCAGGTGCATCTGGGACTAAAAGGTGTCCATGTGGTCTTTGGGATCGAAGGATCCATTGTACTTGTCTAGTGGGGGGAGCTTGAAGTCCCTTGTTATGGGGACAGCAAGGAGCTCTGGTGACAGGGGGAAGGAACTGAAAGAAGCGGAGTAACTTTTACCTCACCCAAACTTACCTCTACCTTGCCTCCGAGTTCGGGCAGATCACAGGTGGCAGTTCGGCGAGCTCGGCAACGCCTTCGCTACTTCTTAGTCGGCTCGACGTTGGTGTTGCTGGCCTTAGTATTGCTGAGCTTGATTGGCCCAGGGAAAGGCTCTGACGGTTGTCGATAGCTACGAACAGAGGGACCTTGTCCCAGGTCGTCGGCCAGCACTTCGAACCGGTTTTCGGCAAGTGGAGGTCCGAACTCCGAATGCTGAGGTGATATGGGCCTAACCGGCTTGGAAGCCCCCGACCTAACTACAAGCCGCGAGGCGGGGGTAGGGGATCTTTCCTTTTTTCCATGAGACGATACCGAGGTCTCTCCTCAGCGGGAAGGAAGTTCGCTTCGGCGGTGAGGCTTGGTTGGCTGTGTAGCTGGATGTCGAGGAGGGAGTGAAGGAAACTGTTGCTGATACTGGTATTAGGAAACCTGGTGCAACACTTGCTGCTAGTGAAACTGGAGTTGCTGGAACTGTTGCATCTGAGCCTGCATGGCTCGCATGCATTGCATCAGATCCTCACGCTGACCTTGGTTGGCCACTGGAGGGAGGATAGTGGGTTCAGCGAAGGTTGTTCCGAATGTAGAGGGAAGTGGAACAGTCACGGGTGCCATTGTCTGAGGCACATTCAAACTAGGAACCCCGCTCGCAGAGAGGGGGATGGTGAACTGTCCGATGCAGACGGTGGGTAACTGGGGTTGTTCCTCAGGGGTGTTTCGGCATCCGGCGTTGTTGGAGGAAGCCATGGGTGTCGGTGATGCTGATGAGTTCTTTGGAGAAAGTTGCACAGAATTTAGAGGAAGGCCTTTTGAAGTGGTTCCCACAGACGGCGCCAAATGATGCTGCATGATCTGGGCACTCCTATCTGGGTGAAACCTGGCTCCTAGCTGTGACAGATGGCACCTGAGACGGAGAGGAACGTGAAGGATTCCCGGGGATCTCTCCCGACGGGAACACTCCGATGGCTAAGTTAGAATTCTAAGGATAACTCAAGGAAAGCACATAGAGAGTTAAGAGTGTTGAAAGTGCTAGCTTCAATACCTCTTGCTTCGCGAGGGTCAGGGTCCTCTTATACCGAAGCTCAGTCACATCAGGCGTAACCGCCATTGCCCTAGCCGTTTCTGCCAGGGCTGAGATGGCGGGTGCAAGCTGCTGCTACAGGGTACGGGTCCGCCAGGCATGCCATGCTTTTCAGAGATGGCAGGCATGACGCCGCCTGGCGAGAGACGTGGGCGCTGCCACCAGATCCGGCAGGTATGGATGTCCGGCGGATCTTCCCTGCAGGTTGCCGAGCTACTTTGCACCAAACCGCTTAGAGATAAGTTACCTTGCACCGAGGTGCCGAGGTACCCCGAGGTGCTCACACTAGAGGCGAACCTTAAGCAAGTAAGGACAGGAGTGTCGACGGTGTTGTCCCGAGGTGTTTCTCCCTCGGGACACTTAGCCAAAGTCAGGGTGCTCCCTTCTTAGGAAGGAAGAGCTCGGAACCTCTTAGGAGGAGCTTGGGTCTTAAGGGCAGCTTGGGTCCCTTTGCACGGAAGGAGCTCGGGGCGCTCAACCCTTAGGGCTTGGGGTGAGCTGGGCCTTTCTTCCCGGCGAGTTGTCACACCCGCCGAGTCGTTCGGCCGGGCTTCGGCGAGCTTGCTACACTAAGTTGTGGCTAAGCTGTCTTGTTGAGTTGTCACTTATGCCAGGTCATGTCCACGTGTCCCCGTGCTACGAGGTCGGGCCAAATCACCCTACATCATATTGGTTTCAATTCAAACTCAAAAGATTTAATTTTGATTGATTTCAATTCAAACCTAATGTATTGACACATATATGATATATTCTTATCTTCTACCAAGAGATCGGATATCGATTCAATCCGGCCTAATCCAATATAAATCCATTACAGATGGACCATTAAATCTAAATTGATCAAGTTCAATATCGGTTACTATTTAGCTTTGCCATATCCCAGTCCCCTTCCAAATTAGTGCAGAATTGGGTCGATAACATGGTTTTCAAGCCATTGTTGACCCGGACGGTCGGACTGTTTGACCCGGGAGCCGTTCAGGCAATCAGTTTCATTCTACCTCAAATCTGGTTGTTGGCCAAAATCATTGATTTGATCAACAATTCATTGATTCGGGTGATCGAATCGTTGACCCATTTAACGGTTTTGGTCATTTTTATTTTTAAAATTTTTTTATCAAAATGACCATCTATGCAGACCGGATGATTAAACCGTCAACCCAAAAACTGATGACTAGTATGGTTCGGTCGTTTTTTAATATCAACTATCAAGCCGGACTTTGCGAAAATTTCTCCTTTGGGTAGCCACCCTAAAAACTAAATTCAGAGTCAGAGACGGGGAGAGCTCTTAGGGATCACAAGACTCGAGAATCTTTTGACCGGAGCTGGCCACCTCCTATTTATGTTAAAACTTAAAACACTCGTTCTTGTATAATAGCGTCTGGCACAAGCATGTGCATGGGCCTACTTTGGATATCATTTTATGGCCCATTTGGTTCGTGGGAATAGGGGTCTAGAATTGCAGTGGAAATGGATCTTCTAAAATGAAATCCCAATTTCAGGCTATTCCAATAGACTAAGAAAATAGACCATTCTCATTCCCGATTCCTTTAAATCGTTGAATCCTATCAATACTTGATTTAGTTGTAAATCAAATAAAGCTAAGTTTGTTAAAGCTTAAGGCAATTTGATACGTACGTTGAACCAAAAAAGGACCCCAAAAGAGCAAAATCAACGACTAAAGTCTAAAGCTGAATGGCGATTCAATTCAGTGCAGTCTGTCAGGAGACTCAGGAGCAAAGCAACACAAACAAGATCGTGGTGTAGATCCACATGTCCACAGATCTTGACCGTTAAATCTAGAAAGTGTATGTAATCTAGGTTTACATAGCCCATGTCATCGCCCATTCAGGACAGTACCACTGCTTGGGCCAAAAAGGCCATCCATTAGACCATTACTCTGCCTCCCCACCATTTCAGGGTTGCCCCCATTTCAATATTCCAACCACGTGAAATTCCTCTGACCATAACCAGAAGAGAGAGAAAGAGAGAGAGGAGAGAGAGGGTAGCTGGCTGCGAACTTCAGTTACGCAGAAAAAGAATTCAAATTTTTCTACAATTTCGACTTTGTTAAATCAATCAATGATAGAGATAACATAACAGGAGAGGAAGAGAAAAAAAACTAGCCCTTCTCTCTCTTCTCCTTGGCTTCTTACATGCATTTTCCTTTTTTTTTCAACTTTTCTCTGATAATTTTCGCCTCCTCCGCTTCGAACTCGGGACGACTCGGAGGAAACCCCTCTCTTTGCCATCTCCATATATTCTCCGGAGCAAAACACACTCACGCACCCCTTCACATCACAAGAAAAAGAAGAAAATAGAGAGAAGAGACAAAAGCAAAAGAATCCAGCAGCTCCCCCGCCTCCTCTACAGGAAGCCGAAAATATTAGCGCAACAAGAACATAATGAGCCCAACTCGGTAAACTCGACCGGGTTAGAAGATTCTCAGATCCACCTCTCCGTCCTGTTCTCACTAGGCCATATTCATGGAATTTGGCCGAGTTGATTTGTCAGCAAACTCGGCCGGGTCGCTTCTTAACCTACCAAATTGATTTGTCAGCAAACCCGTGAAGAAGCGGCCGAGATTCCGGCCAGAAGTCGAGGCTACTCCTGATCCCCGCGTGGCAGGATCTCTGGAAGTCCTCGAGGTTCACGCACCGAACGGAGTTGCCGGACTCGGACCTGGAGATGCATCGGAGGATTTCTTCGAAGAGCGACTCGTCGCATGGGATCACCAGAGGACCTTGGTTCGTGAAGCCGTATTCCTCCTCCGCCTGAACCAGAAGCTTCTTGAAGACCGGGTGGTTCAGGTACGTCGCTCGCACCACAAATCTCCTATAGTTACTACCCACACAGAGCGCCACATGTCCGGCCGGGACGTCGGAGGGGATGCGAGCACTGGCCGAGATGCGAGCGGCCAATGCAGCTTTTTGGCGCCACCTCTTAAGCATTTGCCTGAGTCTGACAATGTGCCGGATTTTGCTGCATTTTCCGATTCCGGCAGACATTTTCCGTCAAGAAAAAAGACAGAAAGTCAGAGCGGAGGAGTGGTTTTTGAGTTTGCTTTGTAATGAGTTGAGGACTTGGTGGAAAATGGGGGGTGAGGAAGGATGGCAAGATGGTTTTATAAAACAAAGAATACCAAAATGCCCTCCGTTTTGGAGATAACCACAAGATAGCCTTCTGCTGTCAGCGTCGCACTATTTGCCGCAACAATAACTCGTGCCAATTAATCTGTTAAAATATCGTGATATTTTGAGCTTACTAACGATTACAAATTTACAAGTTGAAAGAAACGGTCAAAGTAAAGAAGACAACAAGTACTTGACTAGAGTACTTACCGTGGTATGGAGTATTATGGACGGACTAGGGATTAGGGAAGTCCAAATGTCTCCTTAAATGGGTCGGGTCAATTCATCAGCGGATCCAATTAAACCCATATGCATGGCTGGCCTTCTGCATGAAAAAGCTGAAACTTTTTTTCATGTTAAAATATTTTCAGTTATAATTTTTAAGGGTTAAAACCTGAAACTTTACCTTATATACCCTTTGAATTCGTTTTGATATTTAATATAAAAGCGAAGACGGTACAACAATTGATGTGAAGCTCGTACATTCCGATTGTACATAGAAAAAATATATAAAGCGGACCGATCAATCGTCTTTTGGGGCAATTAATACCACATGCAAAGAGTGCGACTTGGGGTGAGCTCTAATTAAGCGTTTGTTAAATGTTTAATACCGCTGCTGTAAATGACAAGGAAAACAGAGCAAGCAGAGCTGAGAAGTGAAAATAGAGCTCAACTATTTCAGCATAGCAATACCCCCATTCTTTTTACATCAAAACAAGGAGAGCCTCGAAAGATAAATGAATTTAAGTGATTTCAGATTAGCCAAAATCAGTAGTTATCAAGTGGGGCCCCTATGTCTTTTCACACATGGCCCCTAAATGCAACTTGCAATATCTCAATCAGCTTAAATTTAAGTATAGGGGGTGGCTATTTGCACTTGTGATTCTTGTGAGTGTGGGGCATATATACACTAAAGCCATGTTCATTTTTTTGTAAGTTCTACTTCTATATTTGATTAAGTGTTTCTCAGGTAATATTTATTCAGAGAAATACATTTTACATCTATCTATCTATCTATATATCTATATATATACTAAAATGGTCTACTTCACCATGTCTATTCTTGCTCCAAACCCCCCTTTCTAATTTCATATTTTTTTGAATATTTTATTTCTTTAATTTTACATAATTACCCATTAAACTAATAAGAAAATAACATACGCTTAACTATTTCTAACAACCATAAAGAAAGAGGGATTTGCTTTTCTAATGTTTAGCTAAGTGGCCCCACTTTCTCTTAATTTCTCTCTAATTCCCATTTATCTCCTAAATTATTTGTAACTCCTATGTATCTCTTAAATTATCTCTAATTTAGTAGAGAGATTTTCTCCTGAACTATCTCTAATTCCTATATATCCTCTCCCTCACTTTTTATCTACACCCATATAAAGAAAGTTTTAATTAAAATTTTTAGAATTATTTAAATATTATAACGAAATTATATACTAACTTTAAAACCCAAATATTTATTCAAAACACAACAAATTAATTATAATAGATTTAATAATATACATACTATTAATAATTCTATATTTTTACAAAATTCATCATGAAATTATGTAGTAACAATATAAATTATAATTTTACAAATTACTCCATTTAAATGTTATTCAAATAATGAAAATAAAACATTATTTAAATATTTCAATAACTAAATATCTTAAATAACAAAACATAAAAATAGCTAAATAATTATATAACAAAATATTTAATATTACGCAATAACATTAAAATAAATAAAATTCAAATAATGAAAAATTTTAAATATTTTACATATTATTTAAATGTTTCAATAACAAAATATAACATGACTAAATTTTAAATAGCTAAAATAATAAAATTATGTAATAAATTAAAAAACTAAATTGTTAAAAGTAGAAAAATAATTATAATAGATTTCATAATATTCATATTAATAATAATTTATTCTTTTACAAAATTAATGACAAATTATGTAATAATAGTACGAATTATAATTTTAAAGATTATTAAATTCAATAAATAATTAATATTTTAAAATTTTAAATAACAATATTAGTTAAATAACTAAATAATATTGTAAATAAATAATTTCACTTATATCAATTAATAATTGTAGAAGAACATTAATAGTTATTTTATTTTCAGTAATTATTTATTGTATTTTTGATAAATATGTTTTCAATAATTATTTATAAATCTATTTTTGTTTTGCTATTTAACAGTAAATTGCCAATAATTATTGGAGATTAAAAAACTATTATTTAACTTTTGAAATTTAATATCGTATCTATTGTATTTTGATTTTTTGTTATAAATTTATTTTTATTAATTATGCATTTTTATAAATTATTGAATAATATTTATTAAAGATTAAATTATTATTTGAGATTACACTATTTGTTGACTAATTTAATATATTTTCAATATTTATTGTATTTTTATTAGGTACCTATTGTATTTTCATTATAAATTTATTTTCAATAATTGTGTATTTTTGCTATAAAATTTCAATAATTATAGGAGATTAAACTATTGTTATTTATTAGAGGTTAGACTATTAATTTAGCTGAAATTAGGAGTGTTCAAGGATTGGTTCAATTCGGTTACAGGTTGTTTTGCCAAACAAATTGGCATGGTTAGGTTGGGAGTTTGTCACCTGAAACAATTGACCATTAGTGAAAACCTGCCAACACGGGTTGTATCAGTTTGGGTCTATTTTCGGTTTGGTTTGTTTGTTTAAAAGATTTAAACTTAAAAATTAAATTTAAATTTACTAAATTACAATGGTATTATTAAAATATTAAACTTATGATATAAAATATTTTAGACTAAGAAATATGGGAATTTCTCACTTTTCTGTATTAAAATTTTATATTTAAAATATAAAATATTAATATATATATATATATGGCCGGGTCAGTTCAATTTTGGTCGATTTACTAATGGCCAAAGCGAAACTGGCCTAACTTGATCAAGTTGGAAAATTGCTAAACCAAAACTGATCAGAAAATACTAAAAAACCGACCAACTCGAGTCCAATTCAATCGGATTGGTTATTAAAAAGATAAAATATAAAACAATTATGTACTCCTATGTATTTCTATTGTCTAACTTTCGCTTAACAAAGCCTGTGCATCGCATGGGTTCCTGCTAGTATATATATTTATATCACTTTTATTTTTTTAAAACTTGTTTGATGGACACTTTTGTCAAATTAATTTTAGCATATTTACTTTTGAGATAAAAATTACTTGAGAGTTTCATTTTTCCTGGATCCATCTTTATTGAAAAATTAACACAAAATTATTGACCAACTCTCCCCGACCTTCTTTTACTGAAACACCTCAAATCAAATAGGTTTAAGTTGTGTTTGGCTTGAAGAAAAATGTAGAGATTAGGGAAACCTAAACATCCCTACCTTTCCAGAAACCTTTTTCCTTCAAATCAAACACATGCTTAGGTTAAAGCTTAATTGGTTTTTGTTGCCACATGGTAAATTTTGATTGGGCCATGTAGAGCCTAATGCTACAATATCTTTAATAGTAAAAATGAAGTTAATACAAGGAAGGAAACTTAGAAAAATAAAGGGAAATTGTCAAAAACTCACCATGAGTTTTCAACATTTCTCTTAAACTCACCACAACTTTTTAAAATGTCTAAAACTCACCATGTCATTAACTTGGCGTTAAAATATATACATATATTTTAATATTTAGACATGAAAAAAAGGAAAAAGTTCAAAAAATAATTTCGAATATAAAATACATAAAAACACAGAAATTACAAAAAATATAAAAAATTATAGAAATTGCACACAAAATAGAAAATTACTTTCAATTTATAGAAACTATAGAAATTGAAAAAAAAAATCAGAAAATAAAATTGTAGAAAAAACACCAAAATTATAGAAAAACGTAGAAATTGCAAATAAATAACAAAAAATACAGGAAAATTTATAGATGATAGAAAATAGAAAAATGTAAAAAAACAGAAATTATAACAAAACACTAAAAATGTAAAAAAAAAAAAGAAATTTGAAAAATGAAAAAGACGTTTTTCCTCTAATTCGCCATTTAAGGGTGATTTAGTCATAAAAATTGTTATTTATGATGACATAGACACCTCTGTCATGAAACATTAATACTAATGGAAGGTAAGTTTTGGAAAATAAAAACTTAACATGGTGAATTTTAAACATTTTGAAAAATAATGATGAATTTAAGAAAAATACTAAAAACTCGTGGTGAATTTTTGATAATGTCCCAAAAATAAATGAAGTGTTAACTTGGAGTTGCATGGTCCCAAATCCCAATACTCAAACCAGTCCTAACTCCCTATGGTTTCTTCTCTTGAAAGCAATCCTTTAATATGTAAAGAATCCAATAAATTGAAAAGCTTTATTATACGGTAAAACTACGAAGGGGGAGGGGGATGAGGTTGATGTTATTTTTGTAATTTGTTGATGAAAGCAAGGGCAATCTGGAAGCAGACAAACATTAAAGTGGAGTGAAGGACGAGAGATGAGACGGAGGCCATACGATTTCGGTGCGGTCCGTGCGAGTATCTGTGCACGCGAAGTCAAAAACCTATCACATGTGAAGCTAAAAACAGGATAAAAGAATAGAGTTATTCTTTTATCGAGATACACATGGAAACGGTTAAACTGTAGTTGCAATGTAGACGAGATACACTGAACTCCTCTCCAGGAGCGAGATACGATACGGGTTATTCACTTTCTCTTTCCTCCGCAACTTTTGCTTCCTCTGGCGATATTTGGGGCTGCTCTCCAATTGGATTTCTGCTTTTTAAAATTAGCTATTGCTGCTGCTTTTTTTAGGGCTGGTTGGTAACTTCTTTTAGTTAGGTAGATGTTTCAACAGTTTAGTAGATAAGAAGACTAAAGTTTAAATTGGGTTCGAAAAAGATATGATATTAAAAGAAAATTTTAATTGTAATTATAAATATGCAGGTGTTATTTATTAAAATTCATGGGTGGATTTTGA